ATGTAAACAATTTAATTTTATTTATGAAATTTCACTGAAAATGTGGAAGGTTATCATGAAATAATAATGACTATGTAGATGTTAGAGAGGTTATATAACTTGCCCAGTTTGCCCAAATCTTATATGGTGGATCAAGGATTTAAACACTGAAATTTGACCCTAAAACCTGGGCTCATAATTAATAGATTAATTACTACGAGTATTTCTCTGTGTTATCTTTTTCTTTAATTTGGTCAAACATCTAATTATTTACTTCTCTAAACAGCCACAGTGCATGATAAATCTGGTTTGGCTGTGTCCCCACCAAATTTCAAATGGAATTGTATCTTCCAGAATTCCCACTTGCTGTGGGAGGAACTCAGGTGGAGGTAATTGAATCATGAGGGCGGTTCTTTCCCATGCTATTCTTGTTATAGTGAATGCGTCTCGCGAGATCTGATGGGTTTATCAGGGTTTCCGTTTTTGCTGCTGCTTCATTTTCTCTTGCTGCTGCCGTGTGGGGTATTCCTCTTTTCGGTCCTCTGTGATTCTGAGACCTCCCCAGCCATGCGGAACTGTAAGTCCTAGTAAACCTCTTTTCTTCTCGGTCTCGGGTATGCCTTTATCAGCAGCATGAAAACAGACTCGTACGGTACACAAGTATCTACCACTCCATAGAAGATATAAAAGATAGTAATTAATTCACCTTACTTGGGCCACTTCATATCCTCAGTCCTAATACAGTGGCAGAAACCATCAAGTGTATGCCTTTTGCCAAGTCAATTTTCTATTATACAGTTATGGCACATGGTAAGCCTGCAGCATATATAAGAAAGCAATTATATTTTATGTACATTATCTAGAAAGCAACAACTTTGCTTTTGTTCTAAGAGAAGAAAACTATGGCTTTTATTTATTTTTTTGTATGGCAAATATCAAATCAGCAAGTGCCATACCTGTTAGTTGAAGAAACTTAAATATCTAAATCTCTTTCGTGATACCATTTTTTTATTCTTCATGTTAAACAATGCATATTTTCTATTGAGTGACCAGAAGACAAAAGAAAAAAGTGACATGACACAGAGGCTGGGAATAAAGTAATATTATTTTAAAAATCAAGTTCTTTGGAATCTTAAGGACCACCCAGTTTAGGTTACTAGAAAGGACCCAGCCTAAACTAATTAATGGCTACAAACATTAGGATTGCTGTTACTTGAAGCTGTGTATGGAAGAATCTATAAATCCCTTTTCCTAATGTCTGGTTTGTTAGCGGCCACTGTCCTATCAGTAAAAAAGCACCAAGAAGCATTTAATTATGTGGCTGCTTCGGGACGTTGGAACTGATACGAAGTTAGACCGTGGCTAGTACTCTATAATGAAAGTATTAGCATCTTTCTGCAGTTACATAAGAGCAGCTGTGTTTAACAACCCTTCCATCTTCTCTACTTAGGCATTGCCTGTTCCTGCAATTAGGGAATAAGTTACTCTGCCTGTGCTGATAGATTCTTCCTGGTGAATCAATGTCTGGCACTTTAGGGAAGTGAAATCGGGAAAGACATTAAAAGCACGAACTCTCACTCTGACGTGTAATTCTGATGCTGGCCATGCCATTAACCCTTATATGGTCTGGATGTTTATATGCTTCATATATTAAGCCCCAAGGTGATAATATTAGGAGGTGGGACGTTTGGGAGGTGATTAGCTCATGAGGGCACAGCCATCATCTATGGAATTGGTGCCCTTATAAAAGTGGCCTGAGTGACCTCTCTTACCCCTTTGGCCAGGTGAGGCTAGAGTCAGAAGACGACTGTGTAAGAGGAAGTTTAGCCTCAGCAGACACTGAATCTGATAGCACCTTCATCTTGGACTTCCCAGTCCGCTTCCAGAACTGTAAGAAATAAACTTCTTGTTTATATACTGTGTAAGCTGCCAGCATTATGGTATTTCTTATAGCAGACCAACTGGACAAAATAAATCCCACCAGAGAACTTTAAACCATATCTTACCCAAAGCCCTGGGATAACTCTCCCTAATGTTAAAAGGGTTTTAACATATGAGATCCTATTTGTCATATAACCTTACTGTGATTTACAGAATATGCAGTCAAAATATGTTAGAGAAATTGAAAGACCATTGTTTAAATCTATGAATATATAGAAAATCTTCATTATAATAAATAATAATTTAGTGGTATTGTTATAACTTAGACTTATGTGTACACAGACACACACAGTTTCACTGAATTAATTTAAAACTAGTGCTCATTACTGAAAATATCAAAACCACAAATGAATGCATGCATGTTGAATGCATTTTCATAAGTAATTATAACATTAACCTGCTAGGATATTGGAAACAAATATCATAGATCCTTGAGCTGAATTAATTTTGTGAAGTATCTTGACTCCATAAAGTGAAGAGTATCATTATCTCAAGAATAAAAAAAAAACAGAAAAATCAATTTAATTGCATGAGGTTGACTATGTAATATGAATCACAGATCCTTATGCAGTTTAAGAACTAGAAAACCACATGGAGAGCAATGAAAGCCTATCAACGAATTCAAGTTGAATTCCTAGAGAAACAGCTCCTGCCGTTACACAAAACCAGTGAGTACATCACTGTGGTTCACATTTGTTTAGCACAGTAATATCAGTGGTTTTCAGATTTAGGTGTCCATCAGAACCACTTGGAGGGCTATTTAACACTGGCCCCTACCCCACAGTGTCTGATTGGGTAAGTTCATGCCGTCACCTGAGAATCTGGTAGTGTTAAGTGGTTTCCAGGTGATGGTCATACTGCTGGTCTGAGGACTGCACTTTTTAGTTTTTCATTTTTTTTCTTGTTTTCTATTTTTATAGATACAGGGGGTACATGTGCTAGTTTGTTATGTGAATATATTGTATAGTGGTGAGGTTTGGATTCCTAGCATATCTATCACCCAAATAAAAAACATTCTACCCAATAGGTAATTTTTTTTTTTTTTTTTTTTTTGAGATGGAGTTTCGCTCTTGTTACCCAGGCTGGGGTGCAATGGCGTGATCTCGGCTCACCGCAACCTCCGCCTCCTGGGTTCAGGCAATTCTCCTGCCTCAGCCTCCCGAGTAGCTGGGATTACAGGCATGCGCCACCATGCCCAGCTAATTTTTTGTATTTGTAGTAGAGACGGGGTTTCACCATGTTGACCAGGATGGTCTCGATCTCTTAACCTCGTGATCCACCCGCCTCGGCCTCCCAAAGTGCTGGGATTACAGGCTTGAGCCACCGCGCCCAGCCCCAATAGGTAATTTTTTTAAAGCTCACCTTCCTACCACCTTCCCCACTTTTGCACCTTCAGTGTCTATTATTTCCTTCTCTGTGTCCGTTTATAGCCATTGTTTAGCTTTCACTTATAAGTGAGAACATGAAGTATTTCATTTTCTCTCTCAGAGTTATTTTACTTGGGATAATGGCCTCCAACTCCATTTTGCTGCAAAAGGCATTATTTCTTTTTTATATGACTATGTAGTATTCCAGGATGTATATATGCCACATATTTTATCTTACGTTTCACTTACAGACACGTAGGTTGATTCCATGACTTTGCTATTGTGAAGAGAACTGCAATAAACAAACAAGTACAGACGTGTTTTTGGTGTAACAATTTCTTTTCCTTTAGGTAGATGTCAAGTAGTGGGATTGCTGGGTCAAATGTTAGTTCTATTTCTAGTTCTTTATGAAATCTCCCTACTGTTTTCCATAGATGTTGTATTAAATATGGTCTCAAAAAGAGTATAGGAACATTACCTTTCCTTCACATCTGCTGTTTTTTGACTTTTTAATAATAGCCGTTCTGAGTAGAGTGAGATGGTATCTCACCGTGGTTTTAATCTGCATTGCATTTCTCTGATGGTTAGTAATGTTGATCTTTTTTTTTCATGTTTGTGTGAGCCACTTGCATGTCTTTTTAAGACAAATGTCTGTTCACGTTCTTTGCCCCATTTGGAATGTAGTTAATTTTCTTGCGTATGTGTTGTTGAGTTGTTAAGTTCTTGTGGATTGTCATGTGCATAGTTTGCAAGTATCTTCTCCCATTCTGTAGGTTGTCTGTTTACTCTGTTGATAATTTCTTTGCTGTGCAGAAGGTTTTTAGTTTAAGTAAGTCTTGTTTGTTTCTTTTTTGTTTCAGTTGCATTTGCTTTTGAAGTCTTAGTCACAAGTTATTTGCCTAGGCCAGTGTCCAGAAGAGTTTTTACAAGGTTCTCTTCTAGAATTTTTATTGTTTCAGGACTTGCATTTAAATCTTTACTCAATTTTGAGTTAATTTTTGTATATACTGGGTTATAAAGATCCAGCTTCATTCTTCCACATATTTCTAGCCAGTTCGACCAGCACCATTTACTGAAGGATGTGTCCTTTTCCCATTGTGCATTTTTGTCAACTTTATCAAAGATAAGTTGCTGTAGGCATGTGGCTTCATTTCTGATTAGTGCATCTGTTTTTGTACAAGTACCGTGTTATTTTGATTACCATAGCCTTTTTTTTTTTTTTTTTTTTTTTTTTTTTTTTTTTTTTTTTGCCAATCAGTTTGAGCTTATAAGGTTGCTCAGGTTAGCCTTGATCTCATGACCTCGCCTTCGCAAGTGCCACGACCTCTGGCGGGAGCCACTTTGGACCCCTATTACCATAGCCTTTTGGTATGATTTGAAGTTAGGTAATATGATACCTCTAGCTTTGTTCCTTTTAGGTGTGCTTTGTCTATTTTGGCTCAGTTTGGGTTCCATGTGAATTTTAGAATTGTTTTTCTAATTCTATGGAAAACTGCATTGGTAATTTGATAGGAATTGTGTTGAATCTCTATATTGCTTTTGGCAGTGTGGTCATTTCAATGTTTATTATTCCAATCCATGAACCTGAGATGATGAGATGTTTTTCTCTTTTCTTTTCCTTCCTTCCTTCCTCCCTCCCTCCCTCCCTTCCTCCCTCCCTCCCTTCCTTCCTTCTTTCCTTCCTTCCGTTCCTTGCTTGCTTGCTTTTTCAAGGTCTTGCTCTGCTTATCAGTTTGGAGTTCAGCGGCATGTTCACGTCTGACTGCAGCCTCACCCTCCCAGGCTCAAGTGCTCCAGTCACCTCAGCCTCCTGAGCAGCTAGAACCACAGGTATGTACCACTACACCTGGATAATTGTTAACATTTTTAATCGAGATGAGAGATGTCTTATTAGGTAGCAGACCTCAGTATGTTGATAAGGCTTGTGTCAGACTCTTGGGATCAAGTGATCCACCTGCCTCAACCCTCGACCATGGTGGGATTACAGGCGTGAGCCCCGTGCCTGGCGTTTGTCCGTTTGCTCGTGTCATCTATGATTTATTATATCGGTGATTTGTAGTTCTTGTTGTACAGATCTTTTGCCTTCTTTGGTTAACTGTTTTCCTGGATATTTTATCTTTGTGTGTGTCTATTGTAAATGTGATTGGTTGATTTAGTTCTCAGTTTGAACTTTATTGGCATATAGTAATGCTACTGTTGTTTTGTTGTGAATGTGACTGAGTTATAGATTTAGTTCTCAGCTGGAACATTATTGGTATATAGAAATACTACTGATTTTTTATATTGCTTTTGTATCCTGAAACTTTTCTGAAGTCATCGATGAGGTCTAGCAGTCTTCCGGAGAAGTCTTTAGGGTATTCCAGACATAAGATTATATCATCAGGGAAGAAAGATAATTTGACTATCTCTTTTATAATTTGGCAGCTTGCTTTCTTTCTCTTCCCTTATTCCTCTGGCTAGGCCTAAGGACTGCACTTTTTAGACCTCTGGTCAAAATTATGCTCCTCAAATTTACAGGAGGGCAAAAAATGCTCATATAACTTGTTTAATATCCTAATCCCATAGCTTTTCCCCCTGTACAGTCTTTTATTAAGTTTCCATTGTCCCAGCAATTTATATTTTTCCTAAACACTCCAAGTGATTCTTATGAATCATATTTTAAAAGCAAATCAAAATACCTGGATGGAGAAGAGGAGAATAATGAAATGATTCACCCTATTTGTTATGACTGCTTATCCGAAACCATTGAAACACAGATGGTAACACTTTTACGGTCCTGCCCCCTTTACAAATTGGACCACCAACACTTATCTTATAGGCTTGCATTTCTGTCATAGTAGGGCTGTGGGTTATTATTTGAAATGCTTGGATAAAAATTACGTAGGAATTCAGCCCCTGAACACTCAGCAATCAGAACAACGGCTGTATCTGTTACTCATCTTTGAAGACAGAAGGTTCATGTTTTGGGAAAGGATAATTAACTTTGATGTTTTTAATTAGAAATGTCTTTAGTTAATAAATTGGGATTTTATTTTCTTAGTGCAATTTTAATTATAGGATACTCTTTAATGTATTTCTTAGTGTATTTCTTTGTGCAATTTTAATTATAAGATACTCTTTAAGCATTAGCTGCAATTGTTTACATTATTTTCAGGACTCACATCTTTCTATACTGATAGAGCACCTTTAATCCTCTAATGCCATGCACCTGCATAGTGTGATTCCTAAGTATCAAGAACACCTTTACTCCTCTAATGCCATGCACCTGCATAGTGTGATTCCTAAATATCAAGAACACCTTTAATCCTCTAATGCCATGCACCTGCATAGTGTGATTCCTAAATATGAAGATTCTTAGGTATTATTTTGTTTCTGATATGGATTTGTACAGCATATGATGAACAGAGATCATTTTGAAAATAATTCAAAGTTCAAAAGTAAAACTGCACCTATCTATTATGTAACATGTAAGCATGTTTTATTTCCTCTTGATATGTGAGAACTAAATGCCAATTGAGGAAGAAAAACTGCCCCAAAACTTTCACAGAAATGCAATAAGGGAGAGGATTTAAAATTGATTTTAGAAGACTTATGGATCACAAATTGAAAACAATAATGTACAGTGTCACTAAATATTTCCTGTCAAAACGCTTGAAATATATATTACTTATATTTCCTCTTAGAGAAACTGCTGAACTTTATGTGTCTGTAATTCCTATATTTTCACCATTCCTAAACTTCATCATCTGCAGTCCCTACGGCAATATCAAAGTGGACAAATGGTAAATCGAATCAGATATGACTCTAATACAATGCTGTACAAGGTAAACTGAGTGTATTTTCTGTGTAAATGTAATATTTCAACAGCTCCTCCAAGAATAAGTAGTCGCCAATATGATATAATACAGGTTTTCTATGAAACAGGTGTTTGTTTCAGAAGGAAATTTTCCATAATTCTCAGGAATGTCATTAGAGTCAGCAAACAATTTCAAAAAAGGGTGAATATCCATGTCAAGTAAACTAGTGGAATTGCAGAACCAGAGAAAAAGGGGTAAAAAGCCCATAAGTAAATAATATAACCTAGAGCACTTTAAATACAAGATATTTTATATACATGTAAATGTTTTAGACAAAGTAGAGGCTTATTTATTGATATTTTAATGCAAGAGAAGCATGGCAAAAATGCTTAGATGTAAAATTAATTGATCTCAGAATGTAACCTCTAATAAATTAGAACAAGATAGTGAATAAAAATAAAAAGTATTTGTATGGATAATAAATATTACTAAGCACCTAACACATAACACTTGATATACTAAATCTTATTTGTTATTTTGACAGATTTTCACTAAACCTCAACAGTTTCGTTTCCTACATAAACAGTATATAATGAATGCCATTCGTACCTTTAAGAATGTTTTGCTATGACCATTTTGTAGACATGTTAACAATGTTTCTCTGGACAGAGTATACAAGACTAGTATAGTCTCAGATTAGGTGAGAAAATGACCTGAAAGAGTAATATAATTAAAATTTATCTTTAGCCATAATTGATTTTTGGCACCGAAAACTGGACAAAATATATTAAATTTTTACTCAAGCAGAACAGAACTGCTATGTCTCGGAGTAGAGAAACTCACAAAGTGACGGCCATGATTACTCTGTTTTCTGCCTATGGACAAACTGCCACACGGAGAGGTGGAATCTGAGCTGGGGAAGCAGAAATCAGAATCACAGGATAGCTGTAGATTTGGGGTATTATTTTTTCTTCACATCAGCAAGAATTAGGAAATTTGATACATCGTCTATTAACATCCTACACAACTAACATTTTTTGGAATGTACAGTGGAAAATGTTGGTATCTGTATCATCTTTCTGGATGGATTGTAATTTCCCAGGATGCCCCAGTGTTAAGCAGTGCGTCTTCCCTACTCACCTCCAGGGAGCAATTTCCTCCTCTCTGTGGGGAAGTCGCCACTGCACCTTCTCTTATCATAACTGGTAGTCCTCTCTCAAACTCAGATTAATCAAGTTCAGAATTATCTCCGTGTTGGGATCTCTAAGAACGGGTTAGCTGTATCATTATCAGTTTTCTCTTATTTATTGATAATTCTTATTCTTGAGTGGTCTGAAACTAGAGATTTATGAACTTCGGAACCTTCTGAATTGCACAATCAGCCACTGTTTATCATGGCTATCTTCTTAAACCTGTCTTAATTCCAGGGTATATGTCGATTGGTGTAACATGACATAATAGCATATGTGAGAAAGGATCAGCAGATTTCACAACTCTCTCTCTCTTAGCTAGTTTATTCATTTATTTATACTAATACCATATTAGTTTCCATTCAAGTTGATCATGGACACCAGGCGTAACACAGGCCCTTCTGTCTTCATTTTCTGTCACTTGCCTATGTCACCTTTATTTCTCTCCTTATTCATTCCTTCTGCTTAAGCTTGAAATCCTCATTTTTGAAACAGATTTACCTCTGTGTAATGGACACAGAGGAGTTTTTTGCTAAGTGATGGGTAGAGATCATGGCAATGACTGACTTTGGAAACCACTCAGTCTAGGACGGAGAGAACCCTGGCTGTGGCCGTGAGGTATGAATGGCATCAAGAACCGTCTGTTGTCATTACAGAGCTCGTCAGAGGTATAAACCTGCTACACATTCACGACTCGACACCCTCAATTGCTCTCTGCTCCCACTTACTTCCCCTCTTACAACTGCTCCCTGCCATGTACTGCCATAGCTCCTCATCGCCCCATTGGACATCTCCTTTCAGAATGTCTGATAATGATGTAGTTGTTAAGTCTGGTTATGAAACAGATATGAAAACTCATTAGAGCAAATGATAGCAACTGCGACGTAGAAACTCCTCCAGACTAAAGTGCACGGTACCGTCTACTCGGGGTAACTAGTTCTCAACAGTGTGGGACAAAATTGGATCAGTTTTCCATGAAAGCTTCTTTATTTTTCCTCGGTTTTGCATCAGCGCTCCGACCACTAACGTTTACAATATAACCCTTCTATAAAGCAAATTTCTATTTTGGAATTTTCCTCAACATTTCTAATTTCATTTTTAAGTCTATGCATTCTGCCGTTTCCCTTACTGAAACGCATAGAGCCGTAGAAAGAGTTAGTGGCAAGAGTGCACTTGTTTGGATCATATCTGCATTTCAGCCAACATTACCGTCTGTTGTTGGTAAAAGATGTAGGACGTGGGTTACCATATGTGGGGACAGACCACAGGACCGATACATACTACAAAATAGAATATGCTTAGCCAGAAACAGCCCTCTTTGTGGGTCAGGGCACTATCAGTGATCCATAATTTGGACACTGGAGGATTATGGAGTATGACCAAGGCCTTAAAGCAGGCGGTCCATGAAGGGGAAATGCAGGGAAGTGCTGACAAGCGTGGGTCAGAAACCTGAGCAGCGCCTCACGGAGTAGCCTGGGAATACGGAAACAAAAGGGAATTTAAAAAGAAAGAGAAAAGAAGGATGTGATTCCTCCCACATTCTTTGGCTCATGTGGCCTCTTTTCAGTCCCATAGCTAAAAGAGGAGTCTTTGTTTTACAGTATTTGCTGTGTTCACCGATGCAGTTCTGAGACTTGGTGTCCGCCTTATGTCAAAATAGTAAGATAAAAGTGACAAAAATTTGTGAAACTCAAACTGTTTGGGTCATTACTTTATATTTCACTTTCCTCCACAAGGTACCTGTTGTTAGCTTTTCATAGTCCTCTGGTAGTTGCTCTTCATGTTACGTTCTGATATTTTAGTTGGAATAACTGTGAGAAACAGGCGCTAGGGCTCTTTCTCC